TGCGGTGAAAAATGCGGACAGGGATTGTAAACCCCATAACTTGGGAGATGGGGGAAATTAGAAGTATGTTTTTTTTTTTTTTTAAACCCCTTATAACTGGACGTGTGCTCCCAAAGTGCTGCAAGATACAAGCAGAAATATGCACACGCACACACACGCACATACATACATACATACATACATGCATGCATGCATGCATGCATATACATACATACACACATACATACACACAGACATACATACATACATACATACATACATACATACACACATACACACATACACACATACACACATACACACATACACACATACATACATACATACACACATACACACATACACACATACACACATACATACATACACATACACATACATACATACATACACATACATACATACACACACACACATACACACATACACACATACACACATACACACATACACACATACACACATACACACATACACACATACACACATACACACATACACACACATACATACATACACACATACATACATACACACATACACACACATTCACACACACACATACATACATACATACATACATACATGCATGCATCCATACATACATACATATATACATACATACATACAGACAGACAGACAGACAGACATACAGACATACAGACATACATACAGGCATACAGGCATACAGGCATACAGGCATACAGGCATACAGGCATACAGGCATATAGGCATACAGGCATACAGGCATACAGGCATACAGGCATACAGACATACAGACATACATACATACATACTTACATACATACATACATACTTACTTCCTTATTTACTTACTTACTTACATTACATACATTACATACATTACATACATTACATACATTACATACATTACACACATTACATACATTACATACATTACATACATTACATACATTACATACATTACATACATTACATACATTACATACATTACATACATACCATACATACATTACATACATACATTACATACATACATTACATTACATTACACTACATTACACTACATTACATTACATTACATTTGCATTTCATTTACATTTCATTACATTACATTGCATTACATTGCATTACATTACATTACCATACATTACCATACATTACCAAACATACATTACTAGACATACATTACCAGACATACAGGCATACATACATACATACATACATACATACATACATACATACATACATACATACATACATACATACATACATACATACATACACACATACACACATACACACATACACACATACACACATACACACATACACACGTACACACATACACACATACACACATACACACACACATACACACACATACATACATACACACATACATACATACACACATACACACACATTCACACACATACATACATACATACATACATACATACATACATACATACATACATATATATATATCTATTGTATATTTATCTTTTTTTGAAATGTAGAACAATTGAGACATCACAAAGCAATCACGGCTCGCCCCGGGCCGCGAGCACTGAGGTCAGCATCCTCCAGGGAGCTGTGAGCCGATTGGAGTCGGGTGAGGCGATGGGGTAAACATCGATTTTTCTATGGAATATGCATATACCCAATGGGATATATGATAACAATGGGAGAGAGGTATATATATATAACCAATGGGATTGTATGATCAATAAATGGAATATGATCAATCAAGGGGATTGAATGATCGATTTCCATGGGATTTTTTGTAGTAGATATTTTCATGGGATTTGAGTGGTATATATATATACACATAATCACCAATCTGATGTTGTGGGATATGGTAATCAGCCTCCGGAAATCAAATATAGCAATGGAACATCTCGAACGTATAGATGATTTCCCCAACCATAAAACTTCCACTTATAGACTTATAGAGGATTTTCAAGTGCCATGCTTGATTATAATGATTACAGGAGGCTATCTCATAGAATTATCAATATACTCTCCCATCGGGCCATCGGGATATGGATATAGAAATATATGGGAATATAACGGATTAGGTGGGACAACGCCCTTTGTCATCTGAGCAGTGGCTGCTAAACCCTGGTTGGTTGACGAGTTCGCGGACTGCACTGACCAAGCAAAGGGAAATCCCTCCAGTCAACTAGCAGTTTGCAGCAGGGAAACTATGGCACATTTAGAAACTTCGGTGATTAACGCATTTTGTTTATTTCAAGGGTGATATCCCATAAGCCATATAACCACTTACTACTGAAAATGAACCATAGAAATAGTTGATTTACCGAACTTAAAGATGGTGATTTTCCAGTTCGCAAACTGTAAACGTTCACCAGAGGGTTTTTTGTACATGGTCCAAGGCATGGCATCTGGCATCCCCAAACGGGGACTCGTGGCCGGGAACTCCCCGTTTAGGAGATGGATTCCATGGCCTATTGGCCTATTGTCCATATATTATAAGATATTATATGATATTTTTTATGGTTATCCCTATACCATTATATGGTTCATACTATCCCATTATAGTTTTTTTTTTTGGTTCCTATTATCACATTTTTGGGATGATATCCCTATACCATTCCTAATATGATCTTCTGGGATGCCCTTAAGAAGTAACGGTTTCATCAGTTTCATCACCCAAAAAAAAATCCCCGGAGTTTCCCTTGGGAGGGATCAACATGGATCATCTTCGGGGCCTTCCATCATGTTTTTTCCAGCGCATCACATTACAATGGTATTACTACAAGATGGTATCACTTTATTAAAGCCGCATCACATGAAGAAACATGTAAAGTGATACCATCATGATTGACAGTGATGGTGGTTTTTGATAACATTTGATAGCAGTCATATTGATGACAGTGATATTGCTGTTCTGATAGTGGCAATAGAACAAAAAACAAGTGCAACAACGAGAAACACTGACGCATGATTTATTGCAAAAACATCATGACAACAATCCCATCTCCCAATTTTTGATACCCTCGGTAAAGGGCCCAAACTGTTTGAAGGCGATAGAGAAATGGGGAAAAAGAGAGAGAGAGAGAGAGATAATGAATAAATCCGGTTCTTAACCATGATTTTCAGGGGCTATTTCATATATATATATACACATAAGCACATATATAAATATATGTAGTTACATGTATATTTATATGAATACAATATATATATATATATAACACCACCACACACATATGTGTATATATATATACGCGCCTCCTTGCACTGTACACATAGTTCACGTCACATTTTTTTCATGATACCTCCTGGTTCCCCAGGCCTTTGCAAACGAGTTGTTGGGCACCGACACCCGCAAGTGGCTCGAAGCCACTGAGGAGGTGGTTTCCATGGCGCCGATTTCAAAACACGCGGCGCCTTGGAGAAGACATGATGGGATTTTATGGTGGATTTTATGGTGGATTTGTGGTGATTTTCTGGTGAATTTCTGGTTTTCTGGTGGATTTATGGTGGATTTATGTTTCATTTCTGGTGAATTTTAGTATTTTTCTGTTTATGCGCAATGATTTTCAGTGACATATGGCAACTCACAACTGGGCGCTGGGGGTGGTGCACCAGGAAGAAGTGACGACAACCACAGCAACTCGGCCAAAGAGTTCTTTGGGTCTAGAAATGTTAGGAAAAAAATAGGAAAAAACCATTCCATCCACTGGTTTATCATGTTTATCATCATTTTCCCTGTCAAATTTTTTTAATTTCCTGCAGGTAGGCGCACCCATGTTGCGGGTGGTTCGAAGTGATTGACCCGCAGAACTTGAATGCAAAACCACACGCCATTTGTTTCCAGCTTGGATGGTGCAGTTCCACCAAATTGGAATGTTTCCCAGCATTTCATAGCTGAAAACACTATATCAACATGTTCTTCGATGCTGGTGCTGCTTTCAGTTTTTCTTTCATGTATTCAACAATATTCAACACCTGCAAAAATCAAAAACAACCACAAAATTGGAGACCTGAGTCATGGGGGTTACCTTCGGTTCATCCAGGCTGATGAGCCTCCAGTGGAAGGATCTAAGGCGGCCCCGCTGCTGAAGTCCGTGGACGAGGTGCATGGGATATCCAACGCCAACGAGGATGTCCCAAAGAAATTGGCAAAGAAATTGGAGATGGGTCTCTCTGAAAATGAGGGATATACCATGGATATACCTGGCGATTTTTTTTTTTTTGGAAGATCATGAGTAACCAATGGATTTAGGGTCACTATTTTGAAACCCATATGCGCCACTATGAAGACATGTTGAATTTCGATGAGATATCACCGATATGATAAACCGCTTGATCTATTGGCACCACGTGGTGACAGGTGGCTGTTGCTGCTACCGATGCTGCTGAGAAAGCTCGGCTTTGGAAGGTGCGGCTGCTGGGCTGGGTTTGCCCGTTGTGATTTTTTGATCCATGCAATGTCCGCGTTTGGATGGTTTTCTTTACAGTAGGTTTTTCTATATTTCTATGGTTGTTTCTATGGTTCTCAGTTTTTTTTCTATGTTTCTTCTCTGGTTTTTTTCCTTGTCGTGATTGGTTAAACTGTTATCACATGCTACCAGGAACCCACGGTTGGTCCCCGGTTTAGCCAGGACGCAGAGATTGCGCAGTTGCATGCGAAGCAGGCGGCTGAGGAGGCGATGGCACTAGCATTTTTCTATGACAAAAATGAGGGAAACCGGGGGAATTTCAGTGAGAATTCTCCGAACGACTTCCGAATTGTCTGACTTCATGGCTCCCAAAAAACAACGAGCCGGTGGTGACCTCCACCTTGGAGCATACCTGGCAGGCCAAAAAGAAGGTGGAAAAACTCACGGTCCAGGCTGCAAAAGAGGAAGCCGAAAAGGCGATCGAAACCGACGGCCGTCCTCTGGTAATTTTTACAGTTTGCTAGGGAAAATCACAATTTTATAATTTTGATGGGTAAAAGTAAAAGAACTTAAATTATGTTGAATTACCAGAGGGTATTTCTGTGGGTGGGTTCATCCTGTTTGTGGTCGTGTAGTTTTGTCAGCCTGCATTTCCCTGGGTTACACCATCATTTCTCGATCTTTTGACGGCTATAAATTGGGTGGCAAATCCGAGCATCTTCTCTTTTTTGACAGGCCATCAGGTACGTTCAAGAACGTGGCTTCAACCCTTTTTGACATCAAATTCCAAATGGCTATCTGGTTGGTGGTTTCAAATATTTTTCATTTTCCATCATATATGGGAGAATCCTTCCCATTGACTTTCATATTTTTCAAGATGGTTATTGCACCACCAACCAGCTATTGATGTTTGACGCGTATATCACATGATATCACCCCTTGGGAAACGAGGTGGGCATGGCCAACCGTTGAGGCCATAGAAGAGGCTGCAGGTGGAGAGGCTGCGGAAGCTAAAGAAGAAGCTAGCAAGGCCGGACGATTTGAAGTGCGGATGGTGTTTTTTTGGGACAAATTTGGGCCTACCCCAAGCATCCCCAAGCCATTTGCTGAGTACAAGCATAGGATACCCACATGTATGGAGAAACCTTGGATTGTTCCGATGTAAACACACCGGTGTTGAAGAACTCATTGTAAATCCCTTCATTTTCTCTGGGGCAGATAGCAGCTTTATCCATGCTGGCTTGCTCAGAATCCTGCACCGAAACGTATGTAGTCGAAGACTGCACGCACACGACGCTTTTCGACGTTTTTGTAGGGCATATTTTCCGGACGGATGTTCTTTTTTTTTGCGTTTTGGTACCGCGTCAAAACCATGCAGAAGATCAGGCACAACATGGCTGTTGCTTGGTGATTGTGAATCAAGATGAATCCAGCCCAATGGAACCGGGTGGATTGGAGTTTTTTTTTTTAATGAAGATGATTCCAACCACGAGGTGCCAAAATTTCATGGCCAAAATGAAGTTCGCAGGGTTTTCCCTTAATTGTCACCACCAACCCATCGGGTTTTGCATCACTTCGACTCCAGCCCCTTTTGTCAGTTGGCTGCAAAAGCAGATGCCGAAGTTGCTGACAAAGAGACTGAGGCCCCATGGACGGCTGCCATTCGCGTTGGTTTATCAGTGTTTGTGCACATCCTGTTACCCTTTGGTAACCAAACATGGCAATTGTCAACTCCCTATGGAGCTTTTAAATGGAAAAATCAACTACAAATGGGACATGTTCACGCGAGCGACGGCGATGCGGAAAACATCATTCGTAGAAATTCGTAGTGATTTTTCTCCCAGTGGAGAAACTTCCATTAGTCAGGTTTGACTACCCCGGTTGGTCAATAAAACCGTTCTACCCCACTATAACTCACTTCATGTAAATGGTTGACCCCAGGAATACCTCACATGGTTGACCCAGGTTGACCCCACTACAGTCACTATTCAGAATACTAAAGATAGGTTTTCTGCTGGGTAGCTGGGTAGCTCATTGCATGAACCACTGGTCGATCATCACCGCAAGCCGATTTGGTGCCTTGGCCAGGTTGCTAAGGCTAAGAAGAAGCTTGCAAGCCTCAAAAACGGCACGGCCGAGAAAGATGCGGCAGAGAAGGATCATTGACTTTGTATTGAGCACGCTAGATAAAGATAGTCTATCCCATGGCTGACAAAACGTCAAAAATGCCCACAATGTGAGGCCCACTAGATATAAGTTGGTTTATAAGCCCCAGTAACTATAGTTATAAGTACCATAAACCATAGTTATTGGAGTTATAAACCAACTTAGATATCAAACGGGGGCCTCACATTGCAGAGATGCCCAGGAGTCACAGGATTTCCGGACAGCACCGCAGGAGCTGAAAGAGGCAGAAGACGCAGTGAAGAAAGCTACAGTGAAGGCGGCGGCGAAAGTGTTTGTGCAGGATCATGTCCAAGGGCCCCAAGGGCAACTGTAAAATTCATGGATCTCCAGTTATCCTGAACTTCAGTTTGATAAGGGGTTAGCCAAAATAGCCATAATTCCAACCAACTGGTCGTTTTCTTTTAATTCTAGGGGTGTAGCTATAGTAGATACGGTAGATATTCCAAGGTACTAGTAGGTGTGTAGTTGAACATGTCAAAGATCTTTGATAGTTGCGGAGATAAAGAACATTTTACCATGCATTTGCAATTTATTTGATTGTGAAAACCCAAGGGGTTGCCGGGATGAACTATGTTATGCGAATCACATGCCCTTTTTTTCGCCCCAGGAAATCACACTTTTTCATCACCCCGAACTATGGCTAACTCCCCATAATCGCCAGGCTGAAGTCTTGGAAAAGAAGGCGGGCAACATCAAATTGGCCAAGCAGAAGGACTCGGACGACAATGCCCTCTACTCTCAAGAAGGCCGATGGGCGAGGTGATAGAACTCATCGGAAATGAAAGGGATGTTCCAAAGATAGATAGATAGATAGATAGATAGATAGATAGATAGATAGATAGATAGATAGATGATGATAGATGGTTGGATGGATAGATGGATGGGCATATATATATATATATACATCTGTGTGTGT